TGAGTGACGGGAGAAAGAGATAGAGAGGCATTAGGTTCTGTGATCTTTTGGAAATTGCAGTTCTCATGGTGAACCACCATCCCAGGACGGAAGAGTTGGAGCTTTCTCACACTTATGGTCGTCGGAGCAGACTTCCTCACCGCCTTGGTTTTTGTTCGTCCAGGATCTATTTTCTTGTGAATATGCGAGTGTGAGAGAATTGGAATGAGAGTTTGTGAAGAGGGATGGTGTTTACCTTTTTTCTTTTTTTTTTTAAGGGAACATCCCAGGAGGGTAGGAGTTAAGACAGGACCTCCAACCTATGTACAGATATGCCCAAGGTGGGCTGAAGAATCACAGGTCTACAAGTTCATATATAAATCACAAATAACAGGCCGGAAACAAGAGAGAAATGCAAAAGAAAGGGAAAGAAAGAGAATGTAACACCCCGCTTTTTAAAACGTTTGAAGTCAGAGTAAATTTTTCGTTTTTCAAAACTAACTATAATAATCTCGAACATTACTTAAATTTTCTCGGGATGTTCTCTTTTTCTCTTTCTCAAAATCGTTTTTTTTTAATTAGACCTAAGATACTGTTTTAGGTTTTTAAAGAAAACTTTATCGTCGAATAGTTATTTAAATATTCAATCTAAATCTCACCTCGGGATAGATTGATATACGGAAATAGTGAAATCATGCATTATTCTGCCATATAAAATTTAAAGATAGCGGAAATGTAAATATGGTTCATCATGTATCATTATTTATTACAAAACATAAAAATGTCATTTATTAGTCATCTGGGCTCGACCACCACCACCTTTGCTCAGCCTGCATGCTCGACTCCATTACCTGAAATATCATAAATAATGGGACGTGAGTACATAACCATGGTACTCCGTAGAAACCCAAAATCAGCATTAATAATCATATCATTAAGAACTGGAATATATGCATTTAACTGAAAGAAACTGGCATATATAAATATAATGAATTCTTAATGCTCTCGGACACATTGGTTGATATCATGTGCACACTTCGATGGAATAATAATCATACTGTAATCCCACTGGAACTTGAGTTAAGGACACATTGGTGTTTACACAGGCGATAAATCGTACGGACCTAAACTGGTAGGCCGTTACCCACTCATCGGGGGAAATTTTCTTAGTTACATACCACTGAAGTGGCAACAAAGAATATAACATACGTAAATCCCAGTACAACATTCCCACATTTTCTGCTGTGTCGTAAGAAATGCTGAACTTCTCGAGATACTAAGACTTGACTCCTTAAGCTACATAAAATTTTATAAAAATATACTGAGTCTTATGCTTGAAAGACTTAATAAATACTGTGATGTTCTTATATGCTAGACTGATTTTGACTCGGTTCTGAAAAATACCAAAAATTCCGGTATAAACTCGGACTAAAAAATTTGAATCGAATATCTCGAACCGACCGGTTCGTTGACTTGGACTGGCGGCTCACCATAAGTCGGTCGGTAACTGGTGACACGAGTGCCTCAGCTCGGTCGTACGAAATGCGGCTGGTTGTTGTCGCATGCACCAGACCACGTGCGCTAGCCACACGGACGCTCGGTTAGTACTAATACCACGGGCACGGTCCTTCGCGTTATTAGGTGCTACTGCACACAGTCGGGTGTTGTCGGGTGCTGCCCTACACGCTGGCACGAGGCCTGACGCGGGTGAGTGATACCGGCACTACCCGTGCACGCTGGCACAGGCGCTGACACATTGCAGGCCAAACTCGGTGCGCAGATACGAGCAGTCGCGAGTGTTACCCTCTATTCAGAGGCACTTCCCCAGGAAGTTACCCTCTGAACGCGGTAGCTGCCGGGCGCTAGCGAACGCTGGGTGCGTGGCAGCAGTCACGGTTAGCTCCTTGCTGACCGTCCGGCTACTTTTTTTGTGACTTCAGACCTAACCCAATAATTTAAAACGTAAGGAGTTCAAAAATGTATAGAAACACTAGGATGATTCGGCTCGATTTTAAAATGGTTCGGGATACAAAAATGGGCTAATAGGGTTCTATGTCACCGAATCACTTAACTCTTTTTATGAAAAGACTTAGGGACAAAAACTTAACCTAATCAATCATGGTTTTTGGTAATAAGAGTTTGGTAAAAAGTTGCATGAAATAGTACTTGACTCGGTTGGTCATAATTGTCTCAAAAATTCGATATCTAATTGATCGAGTAAATGACTTCAAAATAATCTCAAACTTTACCAACCCATTTAACATGATTAATAATGATTTAAGGAGTACTAAACTCGGCTATGGCACACATGGAAAAACGACTTTCGATTTTAGGGTTTACTCGAATTAAAAATCAAAAACCTTCACATCTCTTGTGCGTGTCTCATTTTCTATACTTGGTACTCCTCAAAATATCATGCTTAAGCTAGAAAAAGAGTTAGAAAGGTGTTTACCTTCGCTTAGTGCGGAAATGAACAAAGGAAAGAGCTCTCAGCCTCTTCTCGGGTCTCTCTCGGTGAGGTTCTGGTGAGTTCACTTCCGTGACTACTGATTTGAGACCTCTCCTAAGTTTTTCTCAACTCTTAGGTTCAGTCTGGCTCGAGCAAACTTGAAAAGAACAGCTCGTTGTTCGGTGTGTTCGTATGGCTCACAATTAGGGCTCGAAAATGGCTTATCGAGCTATGATCAGATTTTGCTGAGTTTTGTGGGAATTTTTCTAAGTGTTTGGACGTCCTCTGCCTATATTTTCAGAGGGGAACTTATAAGGATGAGGAAGTTCTATCCATTTGCATTAAAATATTCAAAGTTGGATTTTTCCCCCACACCTCATCTCCTCTTCTTGGTTTCGGTGCCAAGGAGGATGGGGATCAGACTTTTGGACTTTTACCTAATGATAGTACGGGTCAAAGTCTCTTTTGACCGCGGAATTTGGGCTGAAACTCGTTGGACTTAAATTGGGCCCTGGCTGGGTGTTGGGCCATGCGCTGGGCCACGCTGGCAGGCCGCGCTGGCTCATACTGACGGGCCAGGCTATGTGTTGCCCTACAAACCTTGTACAAGAAAAAATGGGCCGATGGTTGAGGTTCGATAATCAACAAAATGTTGGGTCAAGGTTGCACAAAAATGATTATTGGGCCAAGTAAGGCGGCTGCGCAGGCGCTGGTTGCGACTCGGGCTGCACGCGGTCATTGGCCTGCGTGGTTTCTTCGGTTGATTGTGTAGAAGCTGTCGTGACTTGGCTTGTGCTGCGGATGCTAGGCCGTGTGAATGTTCTTAGACCGCATGAGGTACTAGTGTACTAGGGCTGCTAGTGTGTTGGGTCGTGTGGTTGTGCTAGCACACTTGGGTTATGCGCGAGCTCTTACCTTGGGCCGAGTTCAACTCGGCCAGGGTCGATGTAATATCCCACATCGGTTGTTAAGGATACGAAACATGCCTTATAAGAGGGTGTGGATACCTTAACTTGTAAGACGCGTTTTGGAGAGCTAGCTCCCAAAGGCAAAACCGTGCGGGTGAGCAGGCCCAAAGCGGACAATATTCTACAGCGGGTGGACTGGGCTGTTACAGATGGTATCAGAGCCAGTACCCGGGCTGGTGTGCCAGCAAGGACGCTGGGTCCCCAAGGGGGGTGGATTGTAATATCCCACGTCTGTTGTTAAGGAGAACGAAACATGCCTTATAAGAGGGTGTGGATACCTTAACTTGTAAGACGCGTTGGTGAGCTAGCTCCCAAAGGCAAAACCGTGAGGGTGAGCAGGCCCAAAGCGGACAATATTCTACTGCGGGTGGACTGGGCTGTTACAGTCGAGGCTCGAATTTCTATGCTTACTGGAGCGCACTTGAATTCGATCCTTATCATAACTCATTTTAATTATTCTCGACTTAGGAAGAAAATGAATCATGACTTGAATTATTCATTTTTGGATTTTTTAGGGAAAATGAATCGAGTTTTTTAACTGAAATGTAGCTCCCCGTTTATTTATGGATTAATCGAGATTATTTTATCATTATTATTACTATTATTATTTATTATTGTTGTTGTTGTTGTTGTGGTTATTATTATTATTATTATCATTATTATTATTATTATTATTATTATTAAAGGTCTAATTGTCTTTAAATGTCTAAATGTTATTATTATTAATTAATTTAATTTGTGTATCATATATATATATATATATATAAATGTTCCGATTTTATGTTTAATTGTCGTGCGACCGAACCAAGATAATTTATTGGCTAAATCGAGCCCGAGAAATCGGTAGTCGAAACCGGCCATGGACCGGGCTCAATTTGGTTTTAATTCTCGGATCATTACTGCTAGTATTATTCGGGCCCAATTTGACTGTTTGAATTAAATATTTCGGCCTGAACCTTTCGTTTGACATTGGCCCATCTCGAATTAATCTCCAGACCCAATTTGTGAATTGAATTTTCGGCCCAATTACAAGTGAGTTGGCCCATTAAGCTCTTGCTAATCTCGACCCAAAATTTTGTAGTATCTCGCTTCTAATACCGAGCAGATTGGAGAAGCCCTGGCCTATTATTTTTATCTGATATCTCCCCCGCTCATCAGAAAAAGAAACGCAACCCTGCAGTCATCTCTCTTTCCGAAATTTGATCCTCACGCCTACAGACACAAATCTGCTCCGTATTTTCTCTCGATCAGATTATCACGCTCGCAGTCATATCTCTTATCTCTTTCTCTCGCAAGTCATCGCCATCATCGTTCCTCTTTCTCACGCAGAGAAGAAGAAGTTCCGATCACCACTCATCCCTCCCCCTCTCTCACGAGCAATTTTCGGTGAACCCTCCACCATCCATCGTGGCGACCAGTTGCTCCACCTCCGGCGATTTTCACATTCGGGCAGCAGCAACGCCTCCGCGAGCTGGCCCTTCCTCCATGATTGACCGCCATCTGCAGCAACCCCCGACGCGAAGACCTGCTACCCTGCCGCGACCCTCTGCCACGACCAGCAGACCCACAGTGCGTAGGCGAGCCCTCCTCCGCGAGCCCTCACCATGAACCTGCTCCTTCGCGCACCAGACCCGCCGTTTCCGGCGACAGAAGCAGCAGCGCGCCTGAGATTCCCCGAGTCCAGTAGTGACGCCTTCTTCTTGTTCGTGCGCACCACCAGCCCCATTGTACGATTAGCTCCAGCCTTCCGATCGCCCGTCGTCCCCTCAGTTCATCGTCGGGACCATCTGCGCGGGATTCCTCTGTCCGCACAAGAATTCTCCCAGCGAGCAGCCCTTCATTCGCGTGTCGTAGGGAAGGCACGAGCACCTCTTTTCCCGAACAGCAGCGGCGTCATTTGCACATATGACTCCCGACCAGCCGCTGCACTCCATCGCGAGTAGGCCCGACTCCGATGATCCTCCTCCGCTCGTGACCCTCTTTCGTCCGCGAGCCGCCGCCGAGCACCCATCGCAAGCCGCTTTCAACGTTCCGGCATCCTCGTTCGACTCGCCTCAATGTATCGTTTCCTGAGAACGGTACAAGTCGAATCCCGTCTCCTTGAATTATACGTATCGTACATGTTATGTCGTTTATTATTTTATGTATAAATTTATATGTATATAAATTATGAACCGATCTCCTCGATTTTGAGAAATCGAACGAGACCTCGTAAGTTCATGTTTAGTTGTTGTGGAAATTGGAATATAAAGGATCCTTGATCTTATGGTGAAGGCCTCGGGCGTTTTCGGTTTGTGTCGAGTCATTTATGTAGTGTCGAACTCGTATAATTGCTGAATTCGTATTAAATTCATGATAAATTTCACATTGATCCGATTATTGTGAAATTTTATGTGATATGTCCTTTGATGAATATAAAGCTCGTGAAAAATTTCATAATTTTTCACGGCCTGTAGCTAATTTGATTAATTAAATTAATTTCTGGACAGAATCGTGTTTATTGCTTAATAAATTAGGTTGTGCTCCAAAATTGATGAAATTTGTAAATGTTGTCTCCTGATCTGATTTAGATGTTGTGTAAAAGTTTCAGAATTTTTGGACTCAGTTTGCTTAGGTAAATAATTTATTGTGTTATTCTACCGAAAAGTATTTTAATTATGATAATTTGATCTGTTGCTGTAAAATTCTGATTTTTAGTTGAAGTGATTATTTAGTGATGTGTTTCATGTTGTAAAAATATCAGAATTTTTGAAGCTCATATTGGTTCAGCTTTGATGAACATTTGAAAGCTGCAGATGCTTGTTAGAATTTTCATAATTCCCATGTTAAAGGTTTAAGGCTAACATTTTTATATGTTGATATGCATATACTGGGGTTTGTTCTGAAAAACTTTCAGTGGTTGAATCGTTCGTTATGTCAGGTTTTAAATTTGTGCTCGTTTTTTATGAAAACTTATTCGAATTTTATCAAATCATGTGCTTTGAGTTAGGAGCTGAAACTTGGTGTATTTACTAAGTCCAGTGAGTTGGATTTTTGGTTAAACTTTCAGAGCCTAACTCAATCGGTAACCTGGCCAACCTGATTATGTGATATATTGGCTTTTATTTCAAAAATATAGTTTTTGGGTTAAAAACTGTAAACCGACTCGCATGCTATTCTTTTCTTGTTTTGACTATGTAAATATTTGATTGAGATTATGTGAACTCCCTTGTATGTTTGGTTGAGTCTTAGAACCGAGTCTAAGTGTTCCAATGTCCACAGGACTTCACGAACAACTTAGTCAAATCAAGTTCGACTAAGTATGATTTGTGTTTTCCGTTTAAGTCAAGATAGATGTTGATTATAGAATCTTGACTTAATGTCGGTGTTTGAGGAGTCGAGCCTCGACCTACGTTCGTTTCTTGTTGAGTTTATTCAATCCAAAAATCCAAGTGGGTTAGTTATTCTAAAATACCTGTGCATATGTGTATTTAAATATGTTTAACCGGTATGATCTATGTATGCATGTGAGCATGTAGCCTATCGATGTGAGCTTGATGGCCATCGGTACGGTTGTCCCCGTATGATGAAATACCTATGAGAAGGCCGTGTCATTAATGTGGCTCGCACTCCCAGTTTCATTGATATGGCATGGCTGAGCTTTGATGAGCGTAGATGTGCACATGAGTGAGTCTTTGATGAGACTAGAGTCATTGATGTGACTAGAGATGAGACATGATTTACAATTGTTTATGTTCATGCTGCGACCATACCATCTTAACATATTCCTAGTTGTTCATATGCATAGTGTGAGTACAATATTTTCCAACTGTACTCACTCCCACCTGCTCTTCACGGATGCAGGTTAAGCAGTTGGCGGGTGACGAGACAAGACGAGTGGGTGGTCTTGCTTAATTATTTATGATTACTATTTGCTTCCGCATTTATGAACTTATGTTGGAACATTTGAACATGTTGAACTAGTTTGACTTTGATAACGTGGTTGGATTGGTTTATGTTGAAAACATTTCAATTTGATATTCATAAGTATGTGATAGGAATATCATGATGTTTATTATGTTGATGAGATTATGGTTAATGGAAACTTTTGAAAAACCGGGCAATGATTATGTCGTTTGAATCCTTGGATTATGTTTTGATTTCGTGATTTTGTAACTTATTGGATGATGGTATTTTCGATTAATAGTTCTTGGTAGTTAAGTAGCGCCCACTGAGTTTTAAATTAAATTTGAGATTTGTGAAAATTAACTCTGATTTTTATTAAATAAATATGATAAATTTTTTAAAATAAAGTGGGGCGTTATAGTTTGGTATCAAAGCCAGTCTGCATTTCTGTAGACTAGTTTATATGTGAATATGTGATTAGACCTTGTGTTACGGCCACTCGTCTTCTTCATGTTGCACTGCTTAAAGATATGATTTGTAAGTATCAATGAAAATACTTATAATGTGAAATGTGAATTTTGGTATTTTTACATGAGTAGAAATAAAACTACTTGTAATGTAACTTGGTGATATTTGGGGCTTAGGATCTATCCACCTTTGGTTTAATGTTTAACTCTAGTGATATAGTTAAATTCGGACATTAGAGGTTCCTCGTTATGAGTTTCAGTATGTTGTTATCGAGATAAGTTATGCCCATAGTAGTTTCCCTTGTTATATAATTCTATTCAATGTCTTCAAGTGAGGACTCAGTCAATTAGAACCGGGAATGTATTCGACCTCTTCGGACCTTTGCCAGGTTTCGAAAATTATGAGATGAGTCGTTGTTTTATAGGCTGCCAGTATTATGGATGCTTATGGCCTCTGTTCAACCTCTGGTATTGTATGTCTCTTGTGTCTTAGTAAGAGTGAGTTCATGTTAGCTCGAAGCATGAATAGTTGGGTAAGCGATAAGGATATGTGTTCATTTGATGCTCTAGCATGTTTATGTGATTTTTTTTTTTTTTTTTTTAAAAATGTTGTGCATGCCGTTTTTATGAAAACCGGGATGTGTTTATAATAGTGATGTTTAAGTCTTAAAGTGTTGATATCGAGGCTTGCTTAACGTGTAACTTACGTGATTTCGAGGCCATGTTGTGGTACGAACATCTTAAGTTGTTAAAGGCATAAAAATCAAAATTTTAAGCGTCAGCTGTGCCCTGTTTTTGTCGACCCATAAGCTGTTTCTTGGATAAGTGTTCTTGTTTTGTTTTGTAGTTCTTTGAGCTAGGTTTCAGTGAGCTTTGTAATTTTGTGATTTGGAGTTAAAATGGATTTTATATGAATTTTCAAAGTTAGACAAGCATGCAGTTTTTATAAACTCGGACGGAAACTTTGACCGTAGTTCATGGCTGTTTTTTATGATCTTAACGTGCCTGTATGAAAATGCATTTTTCATGACAAATGTAGTATATGGTGTAAGCTGCCTGTAGGAATTGGAATTATGCAATTTTGAGTTCCATTTGATTTTATATAATACTTCCAAGTGGGATGTACACCCAGTTTTTATGAAACCAGGATTTTGTTTAAGTGTTGAATGTGTTCTCTGTTTAGATGACCCAAATGTGTTCGTATGAGAAAGTTCTATTCATAACATTTGTACATTTCCATGTGTAGATTCTGTAGGTTTTGAGTTTGTATGAATTGCAGTTGTGCAGCTTGAGTTGTTGCCATTTTACTAAGGTGTTGTATATTCTAAAAGTTGTTCTCTGCATGTTTTTATGAACTGAATGTCTTATATTTAACCTCATTGATAATATCATTATTTGCCAATAGGATCTTCATAAACATTGTAGAGAATTGAGTTAGCTACCTTGGGGTTCTTGAATTTCAGTAATATCATGTCTGTAGCTTCGGTTATTTTGCATACACTGAGGACCTGTCAAGCTGTATGTCTTCATTTATCCACTGCACCTATGTTTTGGATGTTTGTTGTTTTATGTGCATTTGAATGATTTTATCTGCCCGAGTGTTCTTCATGAAAGTGATAGAGACATGAGTTAGGGATACTTTTCAAGTGGTTTCATCATGATATGATTTGTAGACTGAAAGATACATGTATTTTAATATCATCACGCAAGCTGAAAATCGGTGCAAGTTCATGTTTAGGTTTCCAAATTGAGTTGTGAATTTCAAAAATTAACTTTTCGTCAACTTTCATGTTTATGTGCCCTATATGACTTAATTTGATTACTGTTATAATGTTGGTTGGAAACACTTGCAAGAGAAGCTTTACGCTAAAACCTCGAAGTGTGGAAGCTATAAGTTGTATATGTGGTTGAACTCGTTTAGGACTACCGGCACGATTAGCTACTTGAGTAAAAGCTATCGTGACGGCCGACATTGTTAGTCGAAAGGGTCAAGCGAGCTAACCATTCTAATGTTTGGCGATGACCGCCGAGTTAGGATTTTTCCAGGCAGTGATGCCAATGTTCGATTCTTATGGGAAATTGTAGCTCAACAGTGTTGCTTAAGTTGTTGTAGTTTGGGAGGTCTTGTAGGGAAACCTTTTTTCCTATCTGAGTACCTAGGAAATTATGAACCCAAAAATTGAAATTTCTAGTATGTACCTTGAACTGAACGACGAACCTAGATGGGTGTAGGCACGCGAAGTAGTGGTCGAGCCCGCACGCCCGTGCTGAGAGACGTGAGGCCAACTGCAGTGGCCGACCGTTGACTCACACGAGAGCTGCATCCGCCATCACCGAATGCAGGAATTCCCCAGGCAGTGTGTACGGCCAAACCTTGACCTTGCAGCTAGTCTCCGAACAGGTGCACGCACGCGTCCCAGCGCCCCGCTTATGCAGCACTAGTGTGTGTGTCACCTCTAGGGTGGCAGTGCATGAAACTCCGAACCGAATATGTCCTTTTGGATCGGTAAACCAGTATTCTTCGTCGTGTATGTTGAGCTTTGAAACCCTTCCTCTCAAACTTTAAACCGAGGGCTTCAAGTTGTATGAAGTCCCTAACCAACGACTCTCGATATGTGAGACTTGTCGATTAGTATTCCTTTGTATTATGCAAGATTCTCTCGAGATGGCGAGATATAGGTCCCGTATTGTTTTTGGGCATTGTCAACGGTATCGAACAGAGCCGTGTATTCTGAAGGTACTGGTGTTGAGAGTTTAGTGGTTTTGATATTGATTGTTAGGCCGATTGTATGGGATTCCGTGGCGACCTGTTTAGCAAGGACGCACGGGTCATGTCAACGTAATAATTGAGTTTTCAAGCGTAACCCGGGCACGAGACTGAAGCTCGATGTTACAAACTAACCCTATGGTTAGTCTGCCAGAGCATACTATCCAGACACGTAAGGACCGGTTAGGGTCTTGTGTATTGATAGATGAGTAGAGTCAGAGAAATTCTTTACCATGGGGAGGCATGCTAGTAACGATGGCTATCTAGCAACACCCCTAATGGTACCATTCGAGGTGACTGGTACGGATAGAGGTGGAGTATGCGGTTATTCTGGTTACTGCCACGCGTACTCAGTCCTATTATGATTCTCGACCAAGTCGATGATTTAGCCTGATGGTTGACTCCACCACCGGAGCTCGCGAGGATGCATGACACGTTCTGTGCCTCTTGATGGAGGAAACGTGTGCGTGATCTCGGGGTACATGTGAACTGTGACGAGCTGCGTGATAGGCAGAACCCTACCTGTTTGGAGGTACCGGTGACCTATTGGAACAGAGGGTCCATTAGGAAAAGGCCGGGAGGGGTACTCGTCAAGTCCAGTGGGGGTTTTCGAGGCAAGACGACTTGGGAGAGGGAAACTGAAATTCGGAGGAGGTACCGAAATTTCATGTATTGATGTTGTCTCCTCTTATTTTCGTTAGTATCTGTCGTGGTTTGTTTTACGAATTCCGACGACGGAATTCTTTGTAAGGTGGGTAGATTGTAGCGCCCCGTTTATTTATGGATCAATTGAGATTATTTTATCATTATATTACTATTATTATTTATTGTTGTTGTTATTATTATTATTATTATTATTATTATTATTATTATTATTATTATTATTATTATTATTATTATTAAATGCCTAANGAGCGCGACCATATATATATATGTTCTGATTTTATTTTTAATTATCGTGCGACCGAACCAAGATAATTTATTGGCTAAATCGAGCCCGGAAAACCGGTAGTCGAAACCGGCCATGGGCCCGGACCAATTTGGTTTTATAATTCTCGGATCATTATTGCTAGTATTATTCGGGCCCAATTTGACTGTTTGAATTAAATATTTCGGCCGGAACCTTCCGTTTGACGTTGGTCCATCTCGGATTAATCTCCAGACCCAATTTGTGAATTGAATTTTCGGCCCAATTACAAGTGAGTTCGGCCCATTAAGCTCTTGCTAATACCGAGCAGATTGCAGATTGTAGTATTATCTCATATCTCCCCCGCTCGTCAGAAAAAGAAATGCAACCCCGCAGTCATCTCTCTTTCTACAATTTGATCCTCACACCCGCAGACACAAATCTGCTCATTATTTTCTCTCGATCAGATTATCACGCCTGCAGACAAATCTCTTATCTCTTTCTCTCGCAAGTCATCGCCATCATCGTTCTTCTTCTCACGCAGAGAAGAAGAAGTTCCGATCAGCACTCATCCCTCCCCTTCTCTCACGAGCAATTTCCGGTGAACCATACGCTATCCATCGCGGCGACCAGTTGCTCCACCTCCGGCGATTTTCCCATTCGCGCAGCAGCAATGCCGCCGCAAGCAGGCCCTTCCTCCGCGATCGCTCCGACGTGACGACCTGCAACCCCGCTGCGACCCCGTCACGGCGAGACCCTCTACCACAACCAGTAGACCCACAGCGCGTCGGCGAGCCCTCCTCCGCGAGCCCTCACAGTGAACCTGCTCCTCTGCGCACCAGACCCGCCGTTTTCCGGCGACAGAAGCAGCAGCGCGCCTGAGATTCCTCGAGTCCAGCAGTGACGCCTTCTTCCTACTCGTGCGCACCACCAGCCCCATCGTGCAATTAGCTCCAGCCTTCCGATCGCCCGTCGTCCCCTCAGTTCACGTGTCGTAGGGAAGGCTCGAGCACCTCTTTTCCCAATCAGCAGCCGCGTCATTTGCACAGACGACTCTCGACCAGCCGCTGTACTCCATCGCAAGCAGGCCCAACTCCGACGATCCTCCTCCGCTTGTGACCCTCTTTCGTCCGTGAGCCGAACGTGTCGCCACCGAGCACCCGTCGCAAGCCGCTTTCGACGTCCTGTCATTCTCGTTCGACCCGTCTCTACGTATCGTTTCCCAAGAACGGTACAAGTCGAATCCCGTCTCGTTGAATTATACGTATCGTATATGTTATGTCGTTTATTAGTTTATATATGAATTTATATGTATATAAATTATGAATCGATCTCGTCGATTTTGAGAATTCGAACGAGACCTCGTTTGTTCGTGTTTAGTTGTTGTGGAAATTGGAACATAAAGGATCTTTGGCCTTATGGTGAAGGCCTCGGGCATTTTCGGTTTGTGTCGAGTCATTTATGTAGTGTCGAACTCGTATAATTGCTGAATTGGTATTAAATTCATGATAAATTGCACACTAATCCGGTTGATGTGAAATTTTATGTGTTATGTCCTCTGATGAATATAAGGTCATGTAAAAATTTTATAATTTGTCACGGCCTGTAGCTAATTTAATTAATTATATTGATTTCTTGGCAGAATCGTGTTTATTGCTTAATAAATTGTGTTGTGCTCCAAAATTGATGAAATTTGAATATGTTGTCTCCCTTTCTGATAGATGTTGTGTAAAATGTTCAGAATTTTCGGACTCAGTTTGCTTAGGTAAAGAATTTATTGTGTTATTCTGTCGAAAATTGTTTTAATTATGATAATCTAATCTGTTTCTGTAAAATTATGATTTTTGGTTGAAGTATTTATTTTGTGATGTGTTTCATGCTGTAAAAATATCATAATTTTTGGAGCTCAAATTGGTTCAGTTTTGATGAAAATTCTAGAGCTTCAGATTCTTGTTAGAATTTTCATAATTTGCATGTTGAAGGTTTAAGGGTGAAATTTTTATATGTGGATATGCATATGCTAAGGTTTGTTGTGTAAAAATTACAGAGGTTTAATCGTTCGTTATGTCTGATTTTAAATTTGTGATCGATTTTGATGAAAAATTATTCTAATTTTATAAAATCATGTGCTTTGAATTAGGAGCTGGAACTTGGTGGATATTTTGAGTCCTGTGAGTTGGATTTTTGGTTAAACTTTTCAAGCCTAACTCAATCGGTAACCTGACCAACCTAATTATGTGATTATCGGCTTTTATTTCAAAAATATAGTTTTTGGGTTAAAAACTGTAAACCGACTCGCATGCGATTCTTTGCTTGTTTTGACTTTGTAAATCTTTGATTGAGATAATGTGAACTCCCATGTGTGTTTGGTTGAGTCTTAGAACCAAGTCTTAAGTGTTCCAATGTCCACAAGACTTCACGAACAACTTAGTCGAATCAAGTTCGACTAAGTATGATTTGTGTTTTCCGTTTAAGCCAAGATAGATGTTGATTATAGAATCTTGACTTAATGTAGGTGTTTGAGGAGTCGAGCCTCGACCTACGTCCATTGCTTGTTGAATTTATTCAATCTGAAAATTCAAGTGGGTTAGTTATTCTAAAATACCTGTGCATATGTGTATTTAAATATGTTTAACCGGTATGATCTATGTATGCATGTGAGCATGTAGCCTATCGATGTGAGCTTGATGGCCATCGTTGCGGTTGTCCCCGTATGATGAAATACGGTTACCCTTACGATGTAAATCTTATTAAGACCTATGAGAAGGCCGTGTCATTGATGTGGCACGCACTCCCATGTTTCATTGATATGGCATGGCTGAGCCTTGATGAGCGTAGATGTGCACATGAGTGAGTCTTTGATAAGACTAGAGTCATTGATGTGACTAGAGATGAGACATGATTTAGTATTGTTTATGTTCATGCTGCGACCATACCATCTTAACATATTCTGAGTTGTTCATATGCATAGTGTGAGTACAATATTTTCCAACTGTACTCACTCCCACCTGCTCTTCACAAATGCATGTTAAGCAGTTGGCGGGTGACAAGACAAGACGAGTTGGTAGTCTTGCTTAATTATTTGTGATTACTATTTGCTTCCGCATTTATGAACTTGTGTTGGATCATTTGAACATGTTGAATTGGTTTGACTTTGATAACGTGATTGGATTGGTTTATGTTGAAAACCTTTCAATTTGATATTCATAAGTATGTGATAGGAATATCATAATGTTTATTATGTTGATGAGATTGTGGTTAATGGAAACCTATGAAAAATTGGGCAATGATTATGTCGTTTGAAACCTCGGATTATGTTTTGATTTCATGATTTTGGAACTTATTGGGTGATTGTATTTTCGATTAATAATTCTTGGTAGTTAAGTAGCGCCCACTGAGTTTTAAATTAAATTTGAGATTTGAGAAAAATTAACTCTGATTTTTATTAAATAAATTCGATAAATCTTTTAAAATAAAGTGGGGCGTTACATGAAATCTTTTCAACATTGCTATAAATTCTCATCTGTATTTATCTCGGTTTAACCTTCGAACTAAAGACGTCGGACCTTATATAACTTACCCTGGGAAGTTAAAATCTAGTATTTATTGATAAATACTAGTTTACACTCGAAAACTGATATTGGACATTTATAAATAAGAATTAGCTTACTCTCGGAAGCTAAAGATGTTTTTCTTACTAATGATAGACTGGGGTATTACAGAGAAAACAATGGCCAAAGTGAAAAAATCTAAAAACTGAGCTAACAGGTGCCCAGGAAAACAGTCTGCTCCGCAAGTGGGCTAAAGGGTAAAAACTAAAATGACTACCCAAATCTGAAAGATGGGTAACCAAGCTTATCCATCTGTATAAGCGTGTGGAGTCAGAGAGGGGTGTCGTCCGATTTAAGGATGCGCCTCTGAGGAGTTGAGGAACCGATGCAAGCTAGGAAGTCGGCGGGTCTGTTCCCCTCGCGAAAAATGTACAATCTCTATAGCGGACCGACTGGAGTGTGGATCTAATGCACAAAAGTGGGTGCTGAATCTGCCTTGAACCCTGATGTCCTGAAGTTAGGAGGGTGACGACAGTGGTGGCATCCAGCTCAATCCAAATGTGAGAAGAGATAGAAGATGCGATCTGAAGACCGATCTGAAGCGTCTAGATCTCTACATCATAACTCGAGGTGGCCTAAAGAGGGGCGTGGAAAGCGGTAATGAGATCTCCGATGTGGTCCTTAGTCAGGCCTCCTCCTCTGGCGGCTCTGGTAAGTCGGTCGTAAGATCCGTCGTTGTTTAGCTTAACCCAAGGGGAATCGGGTCTCAGCCAAACAACGGCTCTGGGGCGTAGGTGCATGACAGACGGCAACGGAGATGGTATGAGGCGATGTGGCGGCGTGCAACTTGTCCAATCTCTGGTTGTGAGTCTGTCCAGAGATGTGAGGAGAGATAGGTGTTGCTCAACCAGCAAAACAACGTGAGACCACATAAAAGTAATACCCCTATCCTTCGCACTATTCCTTTATGTCCAGATGGACCACAGGATCACTCAAGGAACGAGGAAGATCACGTGTCAACGGTGTGTGCGCAGTGAGAAGAAACTCAAGAGCTCAAAAAATCCGTCTGTGGTGGGAATGGATATTTGAGTATAAGTGGCAAAATGTTCCCACACTCTCCTTGCAACCTCACTCTCTAAAAACAAATGGGAGAAAAGTCTCCGTCTCGAAATGTCCGGTCTAGGTGCAACAGTAACACCGTGAGGAGAAGGAAAACCCCCTCACCTGCATCACAGTGTCAATCGCAATACGGCGAAGAATGAGGCGCCAAAGGAAAAGAGAAATGATCGGGGTAAGCAGGCCGGTCCAGATAGCCCCGAAGAGGAGGTTAGGTCGATCACCCAGCCGAAATTCCCTCCAAGATGAGATCGTAGAGAACGCACCTGAAGATGTAAGTCTCCACCTCATACTGTCTAAACCGCCCTCTGAGATGGGAATCTGCTGCATCTGATCTAAAATATGGTCACTAAAACCCGCACCAGAGCCCAACACCCTCTCTAACCTATCCCAATCCTAAGTCCGATCTGACCACAGGTCCTTCACCCACCAAAAATGAGAGTGAGTGACCTGTCTAGTGCTCGATAAGGTCCCTCACCGAACCACCACTCGTCCAAAAAGCTAACGTCCTCCTCATCTAGTGTCCAGAAGATGTGCTTCTAGGCGCACTTACCTACCCTGTTGAGTCGCCTCCAGTGTCTACTATCTCGAACGGTGGACGTCACCCTGAAGGGGTGACTGGCGCCTCTAGGGCTGTACTTCTCAAAAAGGTATTGAGCCCAAAGTGACCTTCGTAACTTTCCCTCCTCGAAGGTGTTTACTTGCGTATGTAGGAATTCTGTCAAAAGCAAGAAGAAAATTCTCTATGACTTGCAGAAATTTGGCGAAAGGAAGAAAAAATGTCACTCACAACTGACAGAGGAAAAGATGGGAGGTGATACGGAAAAGCCGAAAATTATGTGTGTGAGAAAGGATTTGCAAATCTGCAATTCAGTCGAAAGAAAAGGAAACAAAAAGAGGGATACATTGACTAAAGTAGTTCCATTGATAATATTGTAATGAAGAAAAATGATGGGTAATAAGTTAAAAATAAAGTTTGGGGACACATGTCACCTTATAATGAAGAAAAATGATGGGCAATAATTTAAAAATAAAATTTGGGGACACATCTCACCTTATGACCATTGAGACTTGTCGCATAGAAGACATCTAATATCTTCATATAAGAATAGTATAGATAGAGATATGTATGCACATATACATATAAGGATGTTAAATTTAAATATTTTTAGACATGTTGTAAAATAGTTTTGAAAAAGTTATAAGTGACTTAACATCTATCATGTAGATATAAAATTTTGTTTTTATAAATATTTCTTTACAAAATATTTTAGAAAAAAATTAGGTGCCTTAACATCTTTCAATAATAATATATAAATTTTAGATAATTTTACATAGCTTGTATAATAATTTAGGTAATTTTAATATTTTAAACAAATATTTTTTATGTTATTTTATACAAGATAATTTTATATTATTTTACAAAACTAATATACGGTAAATTATATCATATGTTAACCCAATATTTTTAATTTATAATTATTATTTAATATTACTTACCCACATCTTTAATTTATAATAATTACTTAATATCGTTTACCTATATATTTAGTTCATAATTATTATTTAACTAATACGAAACCCGTGTACTACACGGGTTTATGATAAAATAATTTGAACAAAAGCGGTAAAAGAGTTTAGTTATTGTAAGTATATACAAAATAAATAAATAAAAGTTTCATAAAATAGAAATACATTGGTATTTTATTTCAATAAAATTTATTTGTACACAACATTATTGATTCTACTTACAAATTTTTCATCCTTGTCGCATCACAAATTTATAATGAATCCTGACATCCGTAAATCAAAAGGTTAATATTAATAAGATAAGGGATGTGTATAGTTAAGATTTTATTTATTATATTATGAATATAATTATAATATATAATTTAGTTCATCAATATGCAAACAATGGCACAAGTAAAAAATGGCTAAAATTTATCAAATTGGAAAAAAAATGATGAATTGAATAAAATTTATCAACTTGAAAAATTAAAAGAAAAATGATGAATGGGTTAAAATTTATCAACTTGAAGAATTAAGATAAGGGATGATAATTAAGATAATAGTTAAAATTGATAAGAATTAAGATAAAGAATGTGTTTAGTTAAGATTTCATTAACTATATTAGCAATATTAATATAATATATAATTTCAGTTCATCATTATTCGTTACTCAATCAAAGACACAACTCAAAAATAGGCTAAATTTATGAACTTGAAAAAAAAAATATGATGAATGAGATAAATCCTTAGTAAAATGAAATAAGAAAAGAAAGATTTGTGTGATCTTTGAATTCAAGACAAATTTGGTAATGAAAGAGATATTGATGGAAGACAATAATGTATGGTGAAAAAATTATTTATAACACTTTCCAAGCAAATTTGGTTTTTAAATTTTTTATCCGAGCCTAAATGCAAACCATTATATTATGACATGTAAGATTCCAAAACATGCGAACTTACCACTTATGCTCAGCACGTTTGAAATTAATATATAAGGAAATATTGGCATAGGCTCCGCACTAGATATAACATGACCAAAAAAATACTATAAACAACATTAATTATGAATAGCGATGACATCAACCGTTACGCCCCATGGAAGTAAAGAAGTAGAAAGTTGAATTAGTCGAATTAAAAAATGACGCCAACACTTGTACACGATTTAGAAACTTTTTGTTTATAGAAATTTAAAAAAAAAATTAAAAAAAATATAACATTTTAACTTAACTATTTTTTTTAACTCAACCCCACTATCATCAATATAATTGAATAATATCAATCATTCATTCATACACACCACATCAAACTTAAATCACTATTCATCCATTCACATTTTTTTAACTAACCATCACTTCAAATATACTTTTACATCAAATCAATTTTAATTATTTTATTCTAAATATTATTTTAATGTACTCACTAACAACTAACTATACCAACTTTTCAAAATTAACCAAACCAAATCAAAAAATCCAAACAAAACCAAAAATTTCTATAAACAAACATATCTTGCTCACAGTCTAAAGGTTTTGAAAAACAAATACTCGGATAAACATCTTTTGCTGCCCTTTCATTGCCATATGAAAACATCATAATAACAAAATACGAATGAGGTACTCGACCTAGATATATCTCGCCAGCCTTCAAGAAACTAATACGAATCTCACAGAAAGATCAACAACATGAACAAAATGATGAAGCTGCAGCCAAAATTCATAAGGTCTCCATAAAAAAAGCACCACATGTACAAAATGATGAAGCTGCAGCCAAAATTCATAAGATCTCCATAAAAAAGCACCGCATCATTATTTGTGAAGGACAAAGATGGAATATCGAAATTGACTATCATCAAATATCACACATCTACTGAGAGTTGTCCTATTCAAGCTTTTCGATTTCTTCACGATTTCTTCGTTCAGCCTCTTCAAGTTCCCTGGCAGCATCTTCCTCATCCTCCAACTCATCACGAGCATCAAACTCCTTGGCTGCAGCCAATGCTTTCACGACCGGATCACGCAGCTCGGAAATTAGGCCACCACCAATCTTGTACTCTTCCTCGTCACCGATCAAAAACAGCCGTTGATCGGGCCCACTAGCCATGGGAACATCTACGGCCAATAACTTCATGTCGTACTGCATAATTTTTATTTTTTTATTATTTTTAACATGTATTAGTCAACAGGCAGGTGTGTAAAACCATTATTTCTCTTTAAAATCCAAATTACATAATCTAGTCGAGTAGAAGTTTAGTGCGGTGCATGTAATTCAGTCACCAGGTAAAATAATTTAACCAAATTGCTCTTTCATGATAGTTATATGATTTGTACATTGGTTTAAGTTTTAAATTGTTTCTCGCTGAACTAAGACGAAAAATGCGAGATATTTGAGACATCATGGATTATGTATTGTTTAAAACAAAACAAATACAACTTAAAAAACAGAAGAAACCAACCCATAAAAAATAGAATGTCTTGAAACGACCAGCAACCACTTGCAATATTACTGTGAAGGAAGCAGCTATTCACTCGCTAATAGAAACAGTTATCTGAAAATATGAAAACTGGAAATCTGAGGCAGAGAGAACAAAAAACCTGGCCTTTCTTCTTCTTGACTTCAACACTGACTAATCCTTTCCTTTCTGAACCACTTATAGGGAAAATGAGAAAACACCTTTTGCTTCTTAACCTTGGCTGAAAATTCTTTAAACTAAAACTTCCCCCCGACATCACATATGCTCTCAAATCGGTTCCTGCAAGTGGTGCGCCCATAACCTCAAGAATTCCAGCCGATGTATTGAGTTTCCTCATAGCCATTCTGTAAACTTTATCCGGATTGATGGTCAGCTTTGAGCGGTAGTACAAGCCCTTAAAATAAGAAAGACATAGAGCGATCACCATCTAGGATTGCTCTTCAAGGTGAAAAGAAAATTAAGAAAGAAATATCGCAAGCATTTGGTTCCAATTGATGGCGCAGATCGAAAGAACGGGTTTCAACCTTTTATGAAGAAATTACCAAAAATGGGTAAAGGTTTTAGTCTAACAACAAATAAACCCAGCAATCACAAATTTCAACCGAGCAGGGGGACTATATATGTTAAAATACAAATCCCAACAATGAAGTTTGTAATTTTGTAAAGGGGTATTCGCAGTTCTTAGTAACAGTACATCCTGAAAGAGATCCATTAGCAAGTTCGTCCAAGCCACGTGTCCAGCACACAGTTTTTCAGAACAAAATAAATCACCAACAAATGCATTTCATAGCACAATTAAATATAATAGAAATGCATGAATGAAATGGATTCATCCATAATAATACTCACCATCGAACTCAAATGATTAATTTATTTATGCTCATGCGTTGAAGAAAATTGATCGGCATTTAAATAAGGATATTCCGGCTTGAACGTTACAATCCGTGATCATTTCTACAAATAAAAGTCCCATCTAACCAGTGTGGCATGTGCGCTAATAAACTATCTCTATATGGAGAGAAAACATATTCTTGATCCATGATACAAGACACCAATGAAGAATCTCATTACTGGTCATCCAATCGATTGTTACATAGCCCTAATAATTGTGAAATAATCACCTAAGGCATATTACTCAACTAATAATTTATTCACGTCAATCAAACTTCAACCAGAAACCAATGGCTCATACATAGACATGCACAAAAGAAAAAACATCACCAAGGTAGAAAACTGCAAAGTACAGCACTCACAACAAATGCGACTATAGCAGAAGAAAGAGCTAAAACTCCATATTTGGCCATGCCCTCAGAGAAACCAATAAAAGTATTGGCAATTCCAAACAAGACCCTCCAAAGGAAAATGCACACCACAACACCACCTCCACCTAGAACCACCAGATAATTTCTCTTCCAGAATGCCTCAATTTGCATCACAAAAGCCTCCTTGTACTGAGAAAATGTATTCTTAACAGCCGAACTAACATTTTTGCCCAGATATTTTGCAAAAATTTTAGAGCCCATGTCGTGATTCTTAAACGACAAGAATCTAAAACCCAGAAAGTTCCTACCAGGAAAAGAATCAGCACGTGGGTTTAATTTTCCAAAAAACCTTGAAATATTAGACGATGATGAAAATTGGGATTTCTGAAAATTAGTTGATGCCCAAGATGAGAAAGTGGAGTTTTCAATGGATCTGGGATCGTTCTTCACGGAACGGAAAGTAATAATGCTGGTGGGATTGGAACTGGACGAGGGTTTTGACACAATTTGGTGAAGATGTCTGCTGATAAATCTTAATTGTGAGGGTTTTGCCATTGTTCGATTTCTTTGATTGTTCCAAATTTTCTTTTTTCTTTTTTTTGGGGGGGTGGGGGAAGGGGAGGAGGTTCAGATGTTGAGACTTGAGGGGAATTAGATTCAGGAGCGCACAAACTCTAGAGATGATTGATTTACCCGCTCAAATGGAAATCGATCAAACCCCGTTTGTTGAACTGAAGTTGAATAATTTATGAAGATCCGGAAGCGTTGAGTGTAGAAATGTAGCATAGCTGTGGTGTTAAATGGTGATAGTTTATGGATTCAACTAATTTTTATTTAGTTTATTTTTTACTTATAGTTAATTTTAAAAAGAGTTTTTTGGGTTGGAGTGGTTTTCTTTCTCTAGAGTTGATTGGTACTGGTGTGTCGTCCACAGTTCTTCTGGTGTCCTTCCCTTTTCTTTTTTCTCTTGCCTGTTTTTTTCTTTTCGTAATGTGTTTTCCCGGCTAGTCCTGTCCTCCCGTTTTCTTTTTGGTGTTCTTGTTGTTATTGTGTCCTGTTATTGTTTGTATTTTGTGTCTAGGGTTGTTATTCTTCCTTTTCTTGTTTATGTGTTCTTTATGTGTAGGTCTGGATCTGTAAGCCGAGCTTCTTAATCTCACTGGTAGTTTCATTTGGGTGGCTTGTGGTTCTAGTGGTGGTTCTGGCACGATGGATGAAGGTTTGGAGTCTGAAATTTTAGGGAAAATGCAAAACTTCGAGCTGTCGGCAGATGAGAAAGTTGGAATCTCTTTAGCGGAGGGTGATGTGGAGTATAGTATGGAGGAATGTCGTAGAAGTCTCTTTGGCAGAATATATGGTGCGAAAAATGCCAATTTCTCCGGTCTTAGAAAAACTTTGAATGTTATACGGAAAATCCGTGATCCGGTGGGACTCAAGGAAATTGGGCATAACTGTTATCAGATTATCTTCAAAAGCACAGAGGATTTGATTCAGGTCAAAAGGGGCAAACGGTGGTCGTTTGATAATCAGTACATTATTCTTAAGGAGTGGTCTGAAGATATCATGGAGAAGGTGCAACATTTAAGCTTGGTGGATATGTGGATACAAATTCGGAACTTGTCGTGCCATTGGTTAACATTGGCTACGGGTTATAAAATCGGGAGAATTTTTAAAGGGGTGAAGGATGTGAGTATACCAGAAATAGGGAGTGTTCATGGGAGAATCATCAGAATATTGGCGATTGTTGACCTAACCAAACCCATCCTACGTGGTACTTCAGTCACTTGCAATGGGAAACAAGATGGATTGATTTTCGATACGAGCAGCTCCTTGCGTTTTGCTACTATTGTGGAAAAATTGGTCACCAAGGAAGCTAGTGCGCAGAGAAAACGTTGGATGTGGAAAAGGGTCAGCTTAGAGAGGAGCAGTATGGGGATTGGCTTAGAGCTGTACATCATCGAGACAATAATAAAAGCCATTCAACTGAAACAAAAAATGATTCGTCAAGTGAGCAGAGTAAAGGGGCTAAGGTGGGGGAGCAGTGCTTTGAGAAATCTAGTGGTGATGTTGAAATCACTTCTGTAAAAGTGGGGATGGAGGAAGGTGGAGTACCATTTGTTAAATCTACTAAAGGGAAGGAGGTGATTTGTGAAGCTGAAGGAGAAACAGTGGGAGTTGCGGACATGGATGAAAGTGGGATGGACACTAATCAATTAGAACTTAGTCAGGTGGACATGGGTGTCTCTGAGATTGAAACTGACATTGAGGTGAGTAGGTTTGGTAAGGAGGGATGTAAAAGGAAATGGATGGGGGATTGTAAGGAGGTAATAGGGGGTGAACAAGGGGAGGAAGAAAGAAGCTGAAGGTAGAGAGAAAGATATGAGAGAAAGTTTTAAATTTCAGAAGGTTATGGGTGCCAGCCTCAAATGGGCCCCAGGTTCCAAATGAAGGTTCTGTTGTGGAATTGTACAGGTGTGGGGAGCCCCTCTACAATTTCCCAACTTAAAGAGTCTCTTAGACTCTACTCTCCAGATATTATTTTTTTAATTAAAAAAAAAAAGAAAAAGAGAAGTTTTTTAGCTACTGTTTGTAAGAATCTCAAGTTGCAAAATTAATGGGATGTTGTTGATCCATTGGGAAGACAAGGGGGTCTGTTTGTGGGTTGGGCTAATGGGGTTGAAGTGTTGCAGATAATTAAAAGCCATTGGTGTTTGCAAATTGAATGTCAAGTAGATGGGATTTCAGAAAAGTTGTGGTTGGTGTTTGTGTATGCAATGCAATGGGATTTTATTGAGCACAAAAAACCTAAATGGGGTAGTCTTTGGTGGTTAGGAGGTGATTTTAATGATATTGTGGGAAATAATGAAAAATAGAGGTGGGTTGGTAAGATCTCCTGGGAGTTTTGAGGCTTTCTCTGGTTTTATTAGTAGAATGGGGATGAATGAAATTCAATTTCAGGGTTACCCCTATACTTGGTGCAATTTGAGACATGGAGTATATTTTGTTGAGGAGAGATTAGATAGGTGCTTTGTTTTGTCCTGACTGGAATTTAAAGTGGCCTGATTATGTGGTGCATCATATTCATAGTCCAGCCTCAGATCATTACATGCTTCTTTATGAATCTCAGATAGTACGGAAAGACAGGAAGAGTAGATTTTGTTTTGATAGGAGATGGGTCGAATTGGAGGGTGTGAATGAGTGCATAAAGGCGGCGTGGAGTAAAAGATTGGGTGGGTCAGTGCTTAAGAAAATTCATGGAAAAATAAAAAATTGTAGATTGGGGCTGTTGGAGTGGAAAAGAGGAAAACAAACCAATAGTTCGGCGTGTATTGAGAGATGTAAGGCGGGGTTAGACCGGTTGGCTTTGGAAGGGGGTGACAGAGATTGGGATGAATGGAAAAGGCTTAAAATGGAACTGAACGAAGCTTATTTAGCTGAAGAAATTTATTGGAGGGACAAATCTAGACATAAATGGCTGAAGAAAGGTGACGGAAATACGAAGTTTTTTCACTCCTGCGCTATTCAACGAAGAAAAAATAATGGCCTGAGTCAACTAAAAATGAATGATGGAATCCTGTGTTTGAATCAAGATGAAATTGGTCAGGTGTTGGCTGTTCATTATTCTCAGTTGTTCAAAACTGCCATTGATGGTGTTGATCCTAATTTGTTGGAGGGTATTCCTCGTTCTATCAGCCACCAAATGAACAACGAATTTGTTGGACCGATAATATCGGTGGTATTACCGGACTACCAAATATAATGATATATATAAATATACACAAAAATATATAATACCAAATGCAAAAAAGTAAAAAAATAAATGACCATAATAATTAATTTCAACTTCTCAATGAGATAAAAATAAAATATTTTAAACCAATTTAAATTTTATGTTTTTAAATTAATAAATTTTATTTTATTTTATTTTATTTTTGCCGGTATTTTGGACCGATATTTTACGGTATTCACGGTATGATCCTGGTACAAACCGGTATAACCGTAAATTCGGTATTTTGTGTGCAATTGTATCGTACCAATGGCTGGTATCCGGTATTACCTGCCGATATGATACAGTATTTAAAACATGGCCGGAGCTAAGTTTTGAAGCCAAAGAAACGGGAAATGTACAAGCCCAACTATGAAAACAAACGTCCAAGACCTACGCTTGGAAGCCAAACAAATGTCCGAACGTGAAGCCCAACTCTGAAGCTAAACATCTAAAAGAGAAGAGGCAACACATTTAGAACTTTTGAAATCCAAGCTAATCATACAGTTAAACATCACAAGGGGAAGCTTAAGGCCATATGAAACGTCCTAGAGTTAAGCTTTGAAGCCAAACAAACGTCTTACCGTGAAGCCCGACTCTGAAAGCAAACGTCTAGGAGCTAAGTTTGGATGCCAAAGAAACGTCCAACGTAGAAGCCCGACTGTAAAAAAAAGGTCCAAGAGTTTAGCTTGGATACCAAACAAATTTCCAAACGTAAAGCACGACTCTGAATCTAAACATCTAAAAGAGAAGGGGCAACACATTTAGAACTTTTGAAATGCAAGCTAATCATACAGTTAAACGTCACAAGAGGAAGCTTAAGGCCATATGAAACGTTTTAGAGTTAAGCTTTGAAGCCAAACAAACGTCTTACTTCTTAGTATTATATACTGAAAACTTGGCTTTACATGTTATTACACATATGCCCTTTATAAGTTAGAATCATGTTAGATTAAACAAGTTCTACGTTCTGTTGTTATGCACTTAGATAGAGTGGGTCGTCATCGGGCGAACCGAAGATCATTCTATCAGTTACTTGCGAACAAGAATAGTTGTTCACAACCTAGATGGACATGAACACCCCATCCGAACGGTTGTAGTGTCAACTGTACAGTTTGTCTTGACTGATTAATTGCACTAGTACATTTACATATTGAATAGGATCCCAAAGAGGAGAAGTTCATTTTATACTGATTGTCGTAAATGAACTAGGCCTCAGTTAATTACTGCGTTCTCTTAACCCATAAGATATTAAACAGACAGATATATATATATATATAATATATTACTTTGATTCACATGGGTGATGTTCAGTTCGCTGGATTAATATTTCTACTGTTTTGGGTAATATTATTATATATAGGATGTGCTGTTAGGATATTTACTGTCACCATGTGCGTTAGATTGATGATGTCCGCGGAGTGAGTTCATGAAGGATTGTTATGCTAAACCCTGCAGGTGGATTAAATTTCGGTATAATAAGAATGTGATGAACGAGCGCTAGCTTCGGTAAAATAATAATAAATTAATTAATTCTTGATTGTCAGTATTTGATTTAATTAATGGACATTATATCTTAAACGTGGGGAGATAAATCGAGTAATTACTATTGGAGTCTCAAATGTAATTTGGGCTAGGAAAAAGGAGTGCAATAATATAATGTTGGTGGCCCATTAATAATATTTAATTAATTAGATGAGTGAGTTTGGCCCACAGTTAGTCTAATTAATTAAGGAGCCCTTTTCCTAATCTCCTAAGGGTCCCTACTGTAGTTCTATATATACATCATTAAGCTCATGAGAAGAGATCCCATCTCATATTCACAAGACAAACATGCCGCCCATACTCTCTCTCTCTCTAGATCTCATTGGAGCATTATCTTCTTCTTGTTGCTCCACTGGTACAAGTTAAAGAAGGGTGTATTGAGTAATACAGTAGAAGATCTGTAGGTCAACCAAGACGAAATATATTTTATCTTACAGAACTAACCGGAGGTCCGATTGAGACGTACAACATACCCAGACGACCGTCTCGACGAGAGCTTTCCATTGCCGCTGAGATCGCCACAATCTGACGCCGTACACGCCCGCATGCGCCTCCGGAAGCTCCCTGACAACAAGTTTCATCTTCATCTGTTTGCACCCGTTTGATCCGTTTTTGATCTGATATTCGTGCAACCCAAGACGTGATTTGCGGTCAATCATTTGCGGTCAACTGTTTGTGGTCAACAGATCTACATAAATTTTAAGTCGTAAGTTCTCCACGTCAAACCTTTAGATCCACTGCGCATATGTTTACCTTTAGATCCTCACAGATCCCAACATTACCGTGAAGCCCGACTCTGAAAGAAAACGTCCAGGAGCTAAGCTTGGAAGCCAAAGAAATGTCCAACGTAGAAGCCCGACAGTGCAAAAAATATCTAAGAGCTAAGCTTGAATGCCAAACAAACGTCCAAAGGTGAAGCCCGATTCTGAAGCTAAACGTCTAAATGAGAAGGGGAAACACATTTAGAACTTTTGAAATCCAAGCTTATCATATAGTTAAACGTCTCAGGAGGCAGCTTAAGGTCATATGAAACTTCCAAGAGTTAATCTTTGAAGCCAAACAAACGTCCTATCGTGAAACCCAACTGTGAAGAGGATCGTTCACAATGAAAGCTTGTATTCGTCATTGTTGATAAACGGAATTTAAAAACGTAATTAAGATGTACAAAACAACAAAAGTTGCAGAAAATCGAATTTTTATTAAGTTTTTCTAAGTCGGTACAGTATTGAAGAAGTCGGTTGTGCAGTACAAGAGGTCGGTCTCCTGGAGAACCGAGATGTTTAATACTAGAATTTAATGTGTCAGGATCGGACCCCTCATATTGAGTTAAATGCTGCTATTTGTAGTAACATTCCGCACGCCTTTTAAGGAGATGCAGCGGCATTTAATGCGGATTGACAGCATAGGGGCGGCTATGACATAAGCTAGCATGTAGACAATGATGAGGGCATGGGCAGCCCATCAGTTGATTGACAGACGTCGCCTTTGTTCGGACTGAAGTCGGATCTTTATGACTTCGATTTCTTCGTGAGGTCACAATTCCCCCTGACCCTTTAGTGAGCCAATTATACCGAGGTGCCGATCCGGTACCGAGATAACCCTGGGAACAGCTCCTCGCAATTCGGAATTTCAAATCTTAACCTAAATAATCTTCATTAACCTTCTCGAGGTGCCTTTAATTTGCATAATTTGAATTTGGTGTCAATATAGAGGCCATTGGCATTGAGGAGTAAGCAGATAGACGTGCTTCTTAGTGACAATTTTCTCTCGACCGACTTTCATTTCTGAAGTTTTTTCTGGGTTTTCTACGAGTATCCCGAGGTGATTTCCTTAGTCGAATATTGTGTGCTCTTTCAATTGAATAGTATGTGGGGGGTCGTGAGGCGGTTATAAGGTAGTTTCCAGAGGCAATGAACGTGTCTTTCCCACTACTCTTCCCAACGGACACGTACTAAAGATAATGGTTGTTGATTCGGACGGTTTCAGGACACGTGTACGCCTAAAATCAAACCG